ATTATGATGATATTGCAACCCACGGGCCGATGGGCAACAATGGGGCAGTCTGCCAGAACACAGCACTGGCTGGCACCCCAGCTTCAGCCGAGCAGCTGGGCATGGTCCACATCATCTTGGCTCCAGGTGTGAAACTGTTCAGCCCAGGTCGATCAAGCCCTCAGCAGTGGTGTGGGCTGCGACACGACACTTAACATCTCTGAGCCTCGGTTCCTCATCAGCTAAGTGGGAGGTGGGATGAAGGGGGAGAGACTATCCCCTCGCTTATCTGGCAGAGCTATCATAGCATTATCGATGGTACAGGTGACACCCTTAACTGACCTTGTAGATTTCAATAAATTGTAGCTAGTGTTACCATTAACTTCCTGATGTCCAATAGAACCAGGGAGTCTGCAGCACACGTGTTAATGCTTTCACACACAGTCTCTCTTAGTGCCCCAAGCAGACTGTAAGCTCCTGGAAGGCAGAGGATATCAAGGAATAGATATCATCTAGGAACGTCTGGTACTGGGCTTGGAGTTTTAAATCACATGCTTGTTTTTCTAATTCTCAGCAACCCCAAAGTGTGTACCATCATCATCGACATCATCCTGAGGGAAGCTGGGCTGGGAGCCAGTATGAGAGCATGCAGGAGTCGGGGAGGCATACTGAGTTTGGTGCTCTGGCCCTTCTCCTCACCTGGGGTCCCTGGCACCCTGCTAGGTATGGGCCTGGCACTCCAGCAAGAGGTTGGTAGCATAAAGCACACAGCCTCTGATCTGACATTTCCTGAAATAGAGGCTGTGGCCAAGCAGGAGCCAAACTTCAAAAGTCAAAGGCAAGGGAAGAATCCTTTTCCTTTGAGTACTACCTGCAGTAGGATGGACAATGAGCCCCCTGGAGAGCTGCCTGTGGGACTGAGCTGTGGAGGCAGCAGTTTCTCCCCCGCCCCACGCTGATCATGTGAAGGCCAAGGAAACCGATCCCTCACCTCGGGGGAGGGACAAAAGGCGCAAGGACAATCAGGTGCATGGAGCCAACCTAACAGGAGGGAAGAAGCACGGAGGGAACCTGAAATAGCAGGGGTGGCCGAGGAGTAAGCGGCTGCCAGGAGGCTGCTTCTCCCAGCCTCCAGCTGACCCGAGCCAATGTCAAGATTCTTTCTGAAAAAATCTTTGCCTAGCTGGTGTTTATTCAAGGATAAGATAACTCAACTACCACTATATTTAGTGCATGAAAATCTACAGGTGTGTGACTCCAGGAACTGCTTCAGGTTTTGCTATTAGTTTTCTGAGTCCCCTCTCCTGTGGGTTTCTGGTGCCATAGCTGTGGGTGAGCTGATTTCCTGACTCCAAAACAGTCTGCCCGCACTCCCTCTTCTTTGGCTTGGGGGTAGTTTAAATATTCCTCTATTGCGTAACTTTTTCTTTAAGGGAAAAAGGATGCTGTTTCCATTTTAATTGTGACATTAAACTGTATGCCAACCCCAATCCAATAGAGGCACCTTATTTCAGCTTGGTCAGTTGGCTTTATTTTTGCTTTGAATTGATCAGTTTAGTCAGTCTCTTCGGCCTCCATTTAATAATGTTTACTAACCACAGACTCAGGAGGTGTGCGCTTTGCTCTCCAAACGCTCCTGTTGGAAGGTGGGATATTTGTTTTCCTTGCCTCCTCCGCATGCTACCCTGTAAAATACAGGTTGAAGGCCAAACAGCATATTGTAGAAGGGCTAAAAGCTTGAGTCCCGAAGTTAGACACCCTATGGCCCTGTCCTGGCTCTTTCAGCTGTACGATGGTCTGGTTTCCTCTGTAAACAGAATCGTCCCCTTCCTGAGTTGTCATGAGAGTCAGTGCAAACACTCAGACAGGACACGGTGCTCAGTGACATTCCTAGAACATGGTAGCAAGCCTGCAGTAGGTCCCCCCACCATCCGTCACCTCATTGACAAAGGGATGGTTGTCTGAGAAAAGCTGCTGGCCTGTCCAAGGAATGCCTTTCCTGCACAAGTGGAAGCGGATCTATTACCAGGCAACTCAACACCTCCTCGGCCCTTAAGAGGGCCTGGCGTGACAACAAATATTGTGATCTGTGGTTTACAGAGTGTCTTTGGGGGCTTAAGGGGGGGCCTTGGAGAGGGCCTTGGAACTTCTGGTCCTTGTCTGTAATGTGGGAATACTGCTCCCTGCCACCAGGTCGCTGAGGTCCACAAGCTGACAAGCATGTAATGTGGATGTGGTAAACACTAAAGCCTTGGTCAAATGTGAGCAACTGTCATTCCATTTTTTCATGGCTTTAGCTTTCAACAGACCCCTTGAGCAAAAACTCAAGACACTACGCATTATCAAACAGATGCAAATTATTTAGGAGAGTCACTGTTCTGTTGCCTGTCTCCATCTCTGTTTCTCTCTCTCTCACACACACACACACACACAGTACAGCTTCAGAGCCCTCCTTCCCAGGTAAGGCATCTAAAAGAAGGCAGGTGACACTTGCTTCTCATGCTTTCCCCTGGGACCACTTGGAAGACACTTCCTACAGGAAGAGGCAGCCTGAGTGGTGACTCTGATGAAACAGACCTGTGACGCAGCCGTGGCCAGAACAGGTGAGCCGGCTTGCTCCTAGCCAGGTGCGGAATCACCTTCCCAGGCATGAAACCTAGCCTCCCACCATGGCCCAGCTTCCGTGGCTTTCTGGTGGCACTCACAGCCATTTCAAGAGAGGGATGCCGGTCAACCACATGCTGAGAGACATGTGGTTCATCTGCCCAGCCAGCACATTCTTCCAGACAGCATTCACCCTCGGGAGGGGTCCCAGCCCTGTGGGCAGGAGAAAGCACAGGGCTGGGAGGCAGGCAGCCAGCACTGCGGGCCCAGCTCTGAGGCTGTCACTCGGGGCAGGAAGTCACTTGACCAATCCCCCCTTAGCTTTTGGGAGGTGGGTTACCAGACACTCACCTTGGAGCTTTCCACCTCTTTACTACGTCCCACCTTGACTTGCTTCTCGGCTCTGTCTGCCATCATGTGCACAAGTAGGCAGGCCTTTTGAGAGGATGAAGGTTTAATAGAGGGTGTGTCCATGAAGCAGTTGGCCTGTGCTTCTCCCCAGGCACAGGATAAACTCTCTCAGGTGCTGTTAATGCTCTTAGCATCTTCCAGCAAAAGCTAATCCTCAATTACAAGTCTGTGACTCTTCCAGCCAAGTCACTTCTTGGAAGGAGTGAAGGAGGAAAACTGCCCACTGATTGCATGTGTGCTCCTGGAGATCCTGGGTGGCCATAGAAGCAGCCCTCCAACGCCGAGGAATTACCCTCAGAGGTGATTCAGGAGTTCTACTAAAACACCATGGGGGAAAAAGTCTGGGGGGGATATTAGGTGGGTGGGGAGTTAGGAAGAAAATAGCAGAGTGCGAAGTTTGCAGCCGGTAAGTATTGACCTTGTTTAAGAGGTCGAGAGCTTGTGGTCAATGGTGTTACAGCTTTCAGGAGATAACTACTCATTCCAGGGAAGTGAGCACTGCCACTGTCCACATCAGTTGCTGTGTGTATAAATACTGGTCTGGACGATGCCTGGACTCAAATGTTTCCTGGCATGAGAACGAGGCATGATAACACATCCATGTTAGTATCCAGGATTCAGGCTCTTGGTTGCTAGTGACCCAAGTTCAACTCCTCTAGGGGCAAAAAAAAAAAAAAGCCAAGTTCAACATTTGCACATGCTCAATCTCTGCCAGTTGTGTGGGAGGCAGGCAGGGGAAACGAAAGAAGCAGGTGTTCACAATTCAGGTGAGGAACTAATGTAACCCAGTAAGTGAGCGAGTGGGAACAGAAGCAGGGGAAGGTGGCCTGGGAAGCCAGGAAGGTGCGACAGGTCAGCTTGGACCAGAGGGAGGCCTGCTCGGCAGAGGAGGTGCTGATGCAAGGCTGAGCTGGCCTGCATACAAGGCGAGCGACTCTCCCACCCTGGCACAGCAGAACCTTAGGCAGGTTTTAATGTCTGGGAGGAGTCAAGGCAAGTCTGTATTAGAAACAGCCCTCAGATGAGTCAAGAAAAATGGAGGGGAGACCAATGACCTGACTCATGAAATAAACCAGGCGAGAGGTGGAGGCAGTGCCAGAAAAGGCAGAGCCTAACATTTCAGAAGGAACACTCAGTGCAAGCAAAGAGGAAAAGGATCCTGGTGCTGGCTGGCAAGCAAACAGAAGAGTGGAAAATTGCTCTTTGATGGATCCTGATGCCTGTGGCCATGGAGGGAGCAGAGAGAAAGTCACTCTAAGCCTCAGGAACAAGTCGAGGCCCAGACTAAGTCCAGCCAGGGTGCGTTGGTAGCGAGAATGGAGGCAGTCTACCTGAGGCTAAAGACGCCACTGACTCGGTGTTGACAGCGCCGGGATGAAGGGCAGGATGAGGAGGCAACAGGGATGGTGCAGCTGGGAGTTGGGGCTTCCGGGAAGGGGTCATTAGATAAACATGCCAAAGCAGTGATCTGGAACAACCCCACATAATGGACTCCAGAGAATTCCCATCCTCAGACTGGAAGGTTTAAGAAGGAGCAGCAAGAGGCAGGTTGAAGAGAAGGGGATGAAGGATTTTACACAAAGACAACCACTCATGTTATCACTTCATCACTTCTATACTTCTTTTCAAGTGTGAAGAAACCATGATAGCACTGGTATCTAGTACAGCTGAGGTTGATTTGGTTCTTACTGAAACAGGTCTGGGGCCAAAGTCAAACTCCAGAGAACCGAGCCTTTAGCACTGAATCAAACATGGTGCCATTGAAGATGGATTTCACCATCTAATGTAGCCGTTAATAGAGATGCTGTGGTCGACAACAAAGCTCAGTTTAAATCCAAATATTGAAGGAACTACAGCCCCCAAATGTAACCACACATCCCTTTCCCTAGAGAAAGCATCATCTTTCAGACAAGTATCCAAGGCTGATCATGTTGATAAACGCTCACCTGAAACCTAAAATAAGTTCACCATCCAGGAGCCACAAAGAAATGAGCAGAGCCAACACGGTCTTTTTAAATAAATCTTTATTTCTCAAACTCAAAGCTTTATTTCATCAAGTTCTAACACATTTTGCATTGACAAGTGATTTCACCTGCATCCCATGAGAAGGTCAGTGGCCATTACACCAAAGAGGAAACCTCACACAACCTAAGAGATTAATATTGGAAAGGCTATGCAAGAATAGAATTACAAAAATCTTTCAATTTAGTCTAATTTGTATCTTTTCATCTATAGTAATTTGGAAATTAATGGATAAAGACTTAATTTTCCTAAAGCAGCAATTTTTCTTTTAATTTGCTAAAAAAAAAAAAAAAAAAAAGACCAGATGGCTTGAGTTTTAAAATGCCCAGAGATCCATATTATTTAACGACTTCCTCTTTAGTGGATGGTTTTCTCACCTTCCTATGCAAACACCCTTGACGATTTGCACCAACTCCCACTAGCCCAGGCAAAACTCTAAGCATTTTCTTTTGCTTCCACTTAAAACTATTTTTTAAGTGATAGGTAAACAAGATTTAGAATTTGACCTCACAAAAAAAAGCATTTTCTTTCCTGATCCTCACCTTGTAAGTCTCCACAAATAATCCTGAAAGGCTGCTTGATCTTTTTAAATATATCCCCTGCTACACACCCCTCCACCGGTGCTCTGAATGGAACTGGCCAAACCAGAGTATGTTCCAAAGTCAGCTGTGACATTCTGGTCTCTGCCAGATGAAAAAGCCAAACCCAACCTTGGCAACTGGAAGCTCTTCCACCTCACAGAGTCCACCGCAAGGGTTCTTCCCCAGTGTGGAGCCCCAGTCAGACACCCAGGAAGCAGCTTCCCTGGGGAGCATCAGGGTCTCTGCTCACAACTACAAAACTCTCATTTGTTCTCTGGAAGAGGAAGTTTGAGCTCAGAATCCAGTTGCATCCTAAAACAAGGCACCGGGACCAGAAGGTTAACTGAAAACGAGGTGTTCCTAAAGTTAGGAGGTCGCTTTTGAGTGGCACCACTTCCCAAAGTTCACAAAGCAGTACTAGTTGTAATCTACTGTGAAGCTAATGGACTGGGGCTAGCAGAGGGTGAAAGACAAGAAGATCTGGGGTTTTAGCAACTTCATTACTAATGCATCACCACAAAACACAGGTTCACACACAGCTCTCCTGTGACTCTAATCCCCACGGGGTAAAAAAAAGTCAAACTGGGGAAAAAAAAAAACAAAAACAAACCTTGAATGCCAAACCACATCTGTTACCACATACTAGGAACCTAGCATCTTTCCTACCCACATCTCCCCACCTGCCAGGTCCCCCCAGCTGTGAGCCATGCCACCTCCCACATGCAGTCAGCAGGAACCCTGATCTGAAGGTGTCAGTGATGCAGTTTGGTTTCAGAGCTGAAATTATGGAGTGAGGAACAGCATCCCACTGCCAAGGGAAGATTTAAAGGTGAGATGAAGCTAGAGGCCAGGAATTTGATGCGTCCTCTTCCGCCAACACAAGGGGGGAAAGGTACTGCTTTAATACCGCGGCTGCTCAACCTGACTCCAAGAAGCAGGCTGGGCTAACAAGCTGCATGCCTGCAAAAAGCATCAGAAAACTGCTCAGAGCCCTGAAGCAAAAGTGAGGCTGCCTGTGTTTATATTATAACTTGCACTTGAACTCTAGTGCCCTTGGCCCCTGCCAAGTTTCACATTACTCAACACACAAAGAAGAGGAACCGGTGGACTCAGTACAGGTTCTGAGTACCTGGTGCTTGTGCGAGCAGCACGAAAGGCAGGTTCCAGCTAGAATTTCCAGACACCTGAAATTCAAGGTTACCTGGTTTATTCCGAAGCAGGCCAGAGATAGCTTCGGTGAGTGCACTTTTTTACCCTGGTGGTTCTAGAACACAGGTCTGCTCTCAAACTTCAAAACGGCTGGGCTGACTAAGAACTTCAGGTGAAGGGCAATCGTGCAGTGGTGGTAAAGAACTCAGGGGCTTGAGATTTCTAGCAACTTCTGTGCCTCCTTTCATCCTTAAAGGACTAGTACCAGACAAGAAGAAAAAAGGTAAGTAGAAAGAACTCCAAGGACAAACTGGAAATTTAATTACTTGATGCAGTTCTGACCCCATCTTCAATCTGGACCCTGGTTACCCTGATCCATGAGCCTTCCAGTGGAAGCAATACTGACTTCTGTGAGCAAGTGCTTATGTTGGCGGCTTCATCACATTTCAAAGCTTTGGTTAAACAGATCTGTTATCTTTGTGCAAACATGTTGCCAACTGACCACAATGGCAGCCTTTTAACGACGTGGATGATCACATAGTTTTTAAAGCTGGGGTTCACTCTTCATTGCCCTTTTTAACACTGAAGCACCCCAGGGCCCGCTCCATGCAGAACCAGTCTTGACTCAAAAGCCAGCGGATTCGACTGTAACTATCGGCTCACAGGCAACAGGAGCTGGTTACACTAAGAAGTGGCTTCTATTCGCCTTGTCCACAACAGGGATACCAACTAAGCCCTGGGTTTCAGTCACACTTGATCTGCTTTCCAGAGGACCAAGACATCACATTCCAGAACAACAACAAGAACAACAACAAAAAACCCTGAAAATATAATCTTTAGAAAAAGGTAAACCACTCCTTTTCTACTAAACATTACGGTAACTTCATTGCTTCAAGCAAGGAGAAAACAATCACTCAGGGCTTGGGGTTTTTATGGCCACAGGAAAACACCAAAATCAGGAGCATGGATTTGATTAAATCACATAAGAAACCAAGCTGGCTGGCAACATGGTGTTTCTCTGCCCTTGATAACCCTAAAGTGATGCTTTCTAAGAGATCCCACAAAAAGCTTCAAAACACAAAGTCCCTTATCTAAACCTACTGGGAAAGCAACAGTAGCCTAGAATTCTCCCATTTACTAAGCTTGCTTCAGACTAGAGAATAACACTGTTTTCCTTCTAAAGTGCGAGTATAAACAAGTATGGTCAATCTACCAGCGTAAGGAAGATTCTTCTTCATTCTCTCAATTCTTCCCAAATACACCAGAAATAATCCTCTCGAGGTGCCTTGGGGGCTTGCTCGTACACGAGGCCCCACCGATGGAAGGAGCATCCACCTCCCACACAGCACAGGGACGGCAGGTGCGAATCTAAAGCAATTTTAAACCAGGTTCCGAGTACCTGGTGCTTGTGTGAGCAGTACAGTCTGCACACGTGCGGCCCATTCCACAGGTCACTCTGATCTACTGACATTCCTGCAATTCACCTGCTGTCCAAAAAGCCTGGGGAAGGAAACCACTACTTTTTGAAAAGAAAAAACAAAAACAAAAATCAGCCAAAGTACTCCAGAAAAAACAGCCAGTCAAACTTGGAATGTGACCAGAATGGGTTTCCAATTAAAACATGGGAAGCCCCTCGTGTCAATGACTCTAGACTCGGCACCGTCCTTCGTCTTGGGAAGAGCAAAACAAAAGTGATGAGCTGATAAACAGGAGGAAGTGTCATTCAACAAGAATTCCTTACTTAAGAAAAGAAAGATTGAACATTCACGTTTCCTATTTACAATCACCCCCCACCACCACCACAATTCTACTTAACGTTAAGTTGCACATTTTTATTTTGTTTTTCAAGTTACATTTCAAGAAAAGGTCATTTTTTTTTTTCTCTCAGCAATTCCTCACAATTCCTCGAGATAGCATAGCATCTAAACCATAAACCATATCCCACCAGATCATAAATTCTCCAGCTATCGGCTTTGGTTTATCGAGGAGACAAATCCTCAGCTCCACTGACAGAGAATAAACATACGCAGTTTAGCCCCTTGAACAAAAAATTAAGGCACAAGAGCACCCTCATGTTTATCATTTTTTTCTGCCTGACTAAAACAGATACAAGAAAATAAGACCATCCACACGACTTTCACACTAAGTGCTGAGAATTCCAAGTGAGGGCTCCTCCGACATCGCCTCCCCTAGGCTCCAGTGAGGAGCCCAGCAACTGAGGCACCTCTCGCACTGCCCACGTGCTTCCCAATCTCAACAACTGCCCGGAGCTCAGACGTTCAGGACGTGGCGTGTTAGTGTCTTTGTCTTGGAAAGATGTGGAGAGGTCATACTTCCTATAGCCTTTTCCAAAGTGGCCCTGGAATAGCAGGTCCTTTTACAATTGGCTCATGATACACTGGAGACCCATTCCAATGGGCACACAAAGGAAAAAAAAAAAAAGCCGAATCAGAGCTGAGTTCCGCTTTAAAAGCCAAACACCTACATCTAGAAGGAGGCTCCCCTAACTGAGAGCCCTGCCCTACCCGGGGTGGGGGGTGGAGGGGGACTCCCCGCTGCGGAAACCCTCGGGTCTCGAGGTTAGTTACAGGGCAGCCAGGTGGGGTAGGGCTGGCTGTAGGTGAGCGGGGGGTGGGCCACGTAGTAGTTGTTGAAGTTGCCGTCGCTGACGTAGGGGGCGGGCTGGTAGTAGCAGGTGACGGTGGTGGCGTTGGGGATGATGTTCTGCTCGGCCAGCACGCGCAGGGCCAGCAGCGAGATGAGGTTCAAGGTCTGCCTGCGCTCGTGGCCCATGAGGCACACGGTGCTCTCGTTGACCACCCTGCGCAGGGTCATGAGGTAGTCGTACTTGCTCCTCTCCTCCTCGGCGAAGTGGTTCTGCAGGTAGGTCTCCAGCTTTCTCTGCTGCTCGAGGATGTCGGGGAAGTCGATGAAGAAGCGGGAGCACATGTAGCGCTCCAGGGTCTTGATCTCCTCCTGGTCGGTGGGCCGGAAGTCCCGCACCAGCAGGTTGCTGTACTTGAGCAGCCCCCCGCCCCGGATCTCCTCGGGGTTCTTGGTGGCGATGAGTCTGTTCTGCAGGTGGTCCAGGGCTTCCTCGAAGTCCCCATACACGCTCTCCCCGATGACCGTGGGGTGCAGCTGCTCGGACAGGGGATGGCCGGAGCAGTCGTAGAAGAAAAGCAGGGAGTCCAGGATGATCTGGAACGAGTCCACGCTGAACTCGAACTGGCGCCGGATGGAGTCGACGAACTTGAGCTCCACGTTGCGCCCGTTCTTGTTGGAGAGGGAGATGAGGCTCCAGCGGTCCGTGTCCGTGCACACCTTCACCAGCTTCTGGACGTAGGCCTCCTTCAGGGTCGTGGGGCTGATCTTGAGCTTGTTCACGCCCTCCGGCAGGAAGTTCAGCAGAGAGCACAGCACCACATCCCTGACCAGCTGAAACTCGGCCTCTGTGGGCAGAGCCACGTGAAAGATGAGGTCCAGGTCTTTGCAGCCCAACCCGTTGTCTTTGACCAGGACATGGCCGGCCGCAGAGCCGTTCAGCCGGACATCCTGCACTTTGATGCCTGCCTCCTCCAGCCGGCCACGGACAGTCTGCACGATGTCCTTGAGTGTGATCTCCAAGGTGGGGAAGTTGCCTCGTCCGTGGATGGGTACCACCTCAGTCAGGACCTCGTGCAGACGGCTCACCTGGTCCCAGGTGAGCACGCTGAAGGACACGCAGTCCCTGGTACTGCTGCTCTCCTCTGCCATCTTGGGGGATGTTGTTGCCAGGGAAACTGAAAGGGAGGGGGGGAGAAACAGAGTTAGGGTTCACTTCTCTGTGGCAAAGCAGCTCCGGGGACTCAGAAATGAGGTTGGTTTCTCTCTGAACATCTTCCTTACTGCCAAGTGGTAAAGCGTACATACTGCTGGGTGCTGTGGTGAGGATTAAATGAGTTAAACACGTCTAGAACAGTGCCCATGTGGAGTGAGGTCAAAATATACATAAGCTTACCCTGTGCCAATCTGACAACTTGAGCATTTTGTTTTCTATGCGGTGTGTTTGCTTTGCCCGTTTTGTCTTCATGAGGGTAGGGTGGGGGTAGAATCTGTGTGTGAGGGCAAGCAGACAAACTCACTAAACCAAGTAACCAAAACACAGCATTATTCAACAGAGGGTCTTTAGGTTTTGCTAATTTTCCTTGTTTTCCATGGAAATCGCCTCTCCTGTTTTTGGCTCCCTAACTACATCCTGAGCTGGTTGACACCCAGGCCACAATGCCAACACAGACCACAGGACCCACAAAAAAAGATTTCTTCCTTCCATGAGTAGATGGATTCTCAACTCTAGGCTTAGAACACAGGACCCACAAAAGAAGATTTCTTCTTCCCGTGAATAGTTGGATTCTCAACTCTAGGCTTAGTCCTGCTAGAATCAAGTATGCTGGTACCCTCTTCACTTTCAGGAGACGTCAGCCCTGTAACAAACACTCCTGTCATCCAGGGTTGGGCCAAGGAATTGTCTGAATGACAAAATTCCTGAGGAACAAAGGGATAGGTCAGCTAAGTACTGGAACTGCTGACCCAGCAAGGAGGCCCCACCCAGGATGTGGAAAAACTCCTCGGGGAAGTGTGATTTTTCAACTCTATTTTGAAAAAGAATCCCTTCAACCTACCCAAGGAAAACAAAGCTAGCACTCAGTACTAGGAGAAAAAGGTTTCCCTGGGGGCTCAGTGGTAAAGAGTCCATCCACCTGCCAATGCAGGAGCCCCAGGAGACACAGGTTCGATCCCTGGGTGGGGAAGATCCCCTGGAGAAAGAGATGGCAACACACTCCAGTATTCTTGCCTAGGAAATCGCATGGACAGAAGAGCCTGGAAGGCTGGACACGACTGAGCACGTACGCACTAGGAGAAAAGCATGCTTTTCCAACATCGACTGCTAGAACCACAAAGTTACCCTGGTAACTCTCAACTACCTTATACTGTTCAGAAAACAAAACAACAGATCCCTGGAAATTCTGATGTGGAGTGAGAAAAACAGATATATTAGAAAGTCCAGGTGCAGCGGCTCCACATGGGTCACGCATTAGCTAGATGGATGGAAGAGACTGAGGTGCTGTCCTCAGACTTCGCAGCAGAGAGGTTTGCCACCCGCTTCACTTTTCTGACTTGGAGACACACAAAACCCATCCCAGGGACCTGCAGCTTCGCTGACTGGAAGCTGCCGCCTTTGCAAGCGCACCCAGCATGCGTAGGCCTGGGCTTCCAACTTGGGCTTTCGGCCCTGTGCTGGTGGGGCCAGGGGCCCTTGCCTGATCCAGAGCTCAGACTGATGGGGTGGCTGTCGGTCTGTGTTGGGGGCGCTACGGCACACACCAAGACAAGCCGCTTCCCAGGAGCTGGCCAGCAAGGAGAGTGGCAACATGACATCTCAGTACGAGAGAGAAAATGTAATATGAAGGCAGAAGAAAGACGTGTTCGTTGACTGGGGCAAACAGGAAGGGCACAGAAAAGCTCATTTATGGGGCAGGGATACAAGCCTGCAGAAAGGCAACGAGAGTGCTCAGGTGTGGTAGAAGGCAGCAGGCAGTCGAGAAACTGGTGAGCTGTCCAATCTGGCCATCATGCGCCTCTCTCCTCAAGTGAGATCACAGGCTCCCTTTAGCAGGGAGGTTAGGGGACTGAATTTGCTGGTTGGCAATGGGAAGGTGGATGACCATGTGATCCAAGCTGGCTCCAGGAAGATGGATGGGGGATGGGTGCCCTTCTGCTTGTTGCTGAAGCATACTTGCCAAGGGGAAGATGAAATTTTCCCTGCAAACCTGTTTGGACAGCGTTAGAAAGCCCTGGGCTATCTAGATTATCCTATCAAAGCACTTCTAAGTTAAGGATACCAACCGAAATTTGTGATGAAATGCTTGGTGTTTACTGCGGCTGGCCTTTGGCTTCAAGTCAAATGTGGAACAGTAGAGATGTCTCTTTAATGTGCTCTCAGATACACTTGGTTCTTTACGGTCCCTTTAATGATGATGGGCAGAGCATGAAGTACACTCGTCCAACTCTGCAGGACACCACACAATTAAGTCCAAATGATTATAGAAGAGTATGGCTCCAACTCTGCTTTGACAGCCTGCTAAATTATGATTCTGTGACATAGATTTCTGCCAGGCATGCTGACTTACCGATAAAAATACAACTTGCTTTACACTGTGTATCTGATCTTAGTGGGTTTCCAAGGCTCATGTTTCTGATATGGGCATGAGAAGTCACAGCAACACAGGAACTGCGATTCAATCAGTACTTGGAAAAGGAGGAACAATTAATTTTAAGAAAATCTCCAGGAAGAAACTCAATAATCCTGTAGAGGTGAATACCTTGTAGGAATCACTTTTGTCCTCACTTTTAAGGACTTGTTTTTTTTTTTTAAAAAAAAAAAAAAGAAAAGTCATCTAGAGTTAAAGTCAGGACTGCTCCCACCTCTAGAACAGTGACTTTTAACATCATAACTAGGACATCTTAGACCTGGGAGAATATGAGGAAAGCTATCACTTGTTCTTGGGGGTGGCGGGGGGTGGCAGAGGGGGCAGTGGGAAGGTCGGGGAGTACATATGCATGAAAATTTTCATATATTTTTAAATCTCTGAACTTGTCATAGATTCAAAGTTAGAATCTATTTTAGACTGAAAATTTGTAAGGTTCTAATGGGAGGAGGGGGAGGAACAGTCAAAAATGTTATGAAAAAATCGAATGAGGTCTACTAGCCTGGTAGGAGATATTATGAAGCCACAAAAATTGAAACAGCATGGTACTGACACAAAAAGATGGACAAATTTATAAAACAGAATTTTTAAAAATCAGAAGGAAATAATAAAGAAGGCATTCAAAATAGAAAAGGGAAAATTGAGACATCTAGGTAGTTATTTAGATTTAAAAAATAAGATGGCTCTTAGCTTGTGTCAATCTAAGATCTAAAAGATGAATCAAAGACTTCATCTTCTAGTGTAAAAAGATGAAGCCCTAAGAGTACTAGAAAAAAACATTAAATTTATGTAAATTTACACAGAATAGGTATTCCTTTCTAAATCACACAGCAGTCACAAAAATTGATGCATTTGCCTATATAAAAATTAAAATATCTATATGGTGAAAACACTATAAAGAAGTGAGAGGACAAAAGTAGGAAAATACTCATAATATTAGACAAAGTACTCACTTCCTTAATGAATAAGCAGCTCTCATGCATCAGAAATACTAGAACCCTAAGATAAAAGAAAGGGCAGAGGATATAACAGTGGCTCAGACACCTATAACATATTCAACCTTACCTTAAGGGATGGGCAAACTTAGACTTCATGTATCAGTTTTATCTATCAGACTAGCAAAGACCAAAAAGCAGACACTTTTGGTACACTGCCCATGGGGTCCCTCTGAAGAACAATGTGGGACTCTCAGTTTTAAGTGGACCTATTCTTTGGCATAGCAATTCTACTTCTGGGAAGTCTACCCTGGATTTTATTCTATGAGTATACTTGCAAGTATGCACAGGGATATTCACTGAAGTATTCTTTATAAAGCTACAAATAGTCATCAGTAACAAAGGTTAAATGACTTGATGCGTCTATACAACAGGATACAAATGCATGCAGTTGTCCCTAAGAATGGTGGTAGCTCTATCTGTATGAATATGAAATGCTTATCAAGATTAATAAAAAAGCAAGTCTGAAACTGTGTGTGTAAAGGCACAAGTCTATGCTTATACAACCAAAAATCCCTGAAAGAATACATAAGCTCAGCTTACATCAAATACCACTTCCAGGCTAGGGTACAAAGAAAACTTGTTTTATTTCTTTTGAATTTGGAACTTACATATATATTAATTGAAAAAAGTTAAAATCTTATGAGCCATGTTCCAAAATCTCTCCCCTATGAAACTTCTAATGTGCTACCTTGTTTAGGCTCTTTAATTCCTTTCCTTGCAGCCCATCCCACCATCCCCACACCCATTTATCAACATCAAATGCACTTAGAAGCTTCCCCCACTTTCAGCCTAAAAACTTATCCCTAGAGGGGCAGGATGAGGGGGAGGGACAGTTCTGATCTGGAAGGGCTTTTATGCAATTTTCTACTTATGTGTTGTCTAAAAGACGACATCCACTGTGGGTATATTATTTTAAAAAAATGACTTTCAATGGGTAAGCCATCTCATCTAGTGTCATTCTATTTAGCACACAAAAATGTTTTCTGTAGTTTCACAAGAATTACTGTTTCCCATTTCAGATGTACTATAGCTATGTCTATACACATAGCTATAGTGAGAGAGCTGTATATCTATAGCTATATGTGAGAGTTGGACCATGAAGAAGGCTGAGTGCTAAAGAATTGATGCTTTCAAACTGTGGTGCTGGAGAAGACTCTGGAGAATCTTTTGGACTGCAAGGAGATCAAACCAGTCAATCTTAAAGGAAATCAACCTTAAATGTTCATTGGAAGGACTGATGCTGAAGCTGAAGCTCCAATACTTTGGTCACCTGGTGCAAAGAGCTGACTCATTGGAAAAGACCCGGATGTTGGGAAAGATTGAGAGCAAGAGGAGAAGAGGGCGACAGAGGATGAGATTAGATAGCATCACCGACTCAGGGGACATGAATTTGAGCAAACTCCAGGAGTGAGTGAAGGACAGGGAAGCCTGGCGTGCTGCAGTCCATGGGGTCACAAAGAGTTGGACACAACTGAGCAACTGAACAACGACAGCTATCCTCATGGTGTTGCTGATTATTGGCTGCAGTTGCAAGAACCTTAATAAATGCAATAAACACTTTTTCAGGAACCCAAGATGCCTATGGTTGGCATCTTCCATGTCAACAACTTCTGACACATATATGAATAGTGGAGTTAATTCTCAGAGAAAAAAAAAACAGTCTATATAAAAGCACAGCGTGGGACATATGCTAAGTCCATGGTATAGTTGTTTTTTCTTTTTTGGCTAACCTTGAATTGGTCTATACACATTTGTCCATTTAGTTACTCTTTAGATTCAGTCGTGAAGCCTGAGGTTTTCTCTGTTTGTTGAAGATACATACATCATTTTTAAAAAAGCTTTTATTTATTTATTTGGCCATGCTGCTTGTTATGCAGGATCTTAGTTCCCCTACCAAGAATTGAACCCATGCCCTTGCAGCGGAAGCAGGGTCTTAACTACTGGAACGCTAGGAAAGTCCCCATGATATAGTTTTAAATTCTCTCAATTTATCATGACTTAGATCTGGAGAAGCTCTTGAAGCTATTGAAAGTTCAAATTTAGGTTGTGTTTGTATTTGTGGTTTAGCTTATGAGAATTGTCCCAAATAAGTTAACGATGCCTATTAGACATAAATCCTTTGTTTTACCTCATCCAGCCGAACAATTTCAAACACCAAAGTACATTTACAAGTTCCTTAGACAAATGTGGTATGACTAGAATAAATCTAAGTCATAGGCCTCAGTGCTTAGATTACACACCAGAACTTTGTGTAACAGTAGTTTTTAACGACTAGAGATTAACACTGATATAATCCCCATATAAGAGAATTACTTGAAACAGTCTCAACTCATGAAAGGCCCTGGTTAAAGGCAAATTCTAATTAGCAGAATTAACAAAATAGTAAACAGAACACAAAATAATTTGAAGCCTGGTAAATTCAAATGAAAGTGTTTTTATTCTCTTTTCACTGTCTTTACTGTCCTTTTACTGCCCTTTTACTGTCTGAGAAGCATATTCATTGAATTTGCTCAATAGAAATTGGGAAAGGTGGGAACCACTATTTCTCATTGATTTGAAAATTTAGGCACCTTTTCAGGCACAAATGAGGATGAACAGTTGCCTGCTCAGTTTAAGCTACTTAATCTTCTAAAAAGTTTGGCTCATGATGAACAACTATCTTAGGTACTCTTAAATTCCCTTTTCTTTTAGCATCTGGCTGCAGCAGCAGGATAAAATACACACATGAGTGGAAAACAGCTTTGCAGAGATGGCAGCACAAGGTAAGAGGAGAAGATGAACTAAAGCCCAAAAGATGACACCAAGCTCCCTGAGGACAAGAGGATGTCTAACTTATCTTTGTTTCCCACTGCCTAGCACACTCAAGGCAGTTGGATCTGAAAACCAGTCTGAGCCTTCATTGAAAAGAAAAAAAAAAAGCCATTTCCAGTCCTGGTGGTTCAGAGGGTAAAGCGTTTGCCTGCAATGCGGGAAACCTGGGTTCAGTCCCTGGGTCAGGAAGATCCCCTGGAGAAGGAAATGGCAATGCACTCCAATATTCTTGCCTGGAGAGTCCAGTGGACGGAGGAATCTGGTGGGCTACAGTCCACGGGGTCGCCAAGAGTCGGACACGACTGAGTAACTTCAGTTTCACTTTCAGTCTTGCTCCCTAGCTTATCTAGACCCCAGAAACTGGAGTGACAAAGACTATGAAAGCATGAAGGGACTTCAGGCGAGCACAAGGACAGGCAGGTGGACAGGCTGGAGACAAACACTAAGAGCACTCGTAATACTTTCAAGCCTTTTGGTCGAGGGCCAGTGTCAAATCGGCATTGATTCCTCTGTGTGCCTGGCATTTAGAAGTACCCAGAGTCCTCAGCACGTGTGGAGAGGTACATCCGTGAAGTTAAAGACTGGTACATATTTAAGTCTAGGTCCCGACGTTTGTCATGGAAGTCCCAGAAGGTTCTGTGGAAAACTGCAGTGTGAAACAGGGTGCTCTTGGCTATGGCAGCCACTCCATCCAGCCCGCAGACAGCTAAGCGGCTCCTCTGCCCCTGACCCTGCTGTGGGCTTAAGAACACAAAGAAACTCAACCCAGTTCAGCATTCCTTTGATGACAACATGCCCTCATACTGCTAACCGGTGTTACCTCAATGGTCTGGATCTTCCTAGTGACCCTTTCCAGCTCAGGGTCAGAGACCCGGCTGTGGATAGTGGACCAAGCCTGGTGTCAGGGTCCCAGGGAGGTGTGTGTATGTGGAACAAAGACCCTCACCACCCTGGTTCCTGGCCCTGGGGGCACCCATGTGCCCATAGCTGCCACGTTCCACATGAACTCTTCTCCTCCGTGTACAACCAAGGGCACTTTAAGCAAAAAGGAACTACTTCCTTGCTTATAAAAGCCTAGAGAATTTAAACAGAAGTGAAAGCAGATGGCAACACCCATCATAACATCCCATCCCACCCCTTCCCTCATCTAGCTGAGTGAATGGAAACCACAGCTCTGGGCCTATTTCTTTTTTCCTATAAAATAATGGTGTAGAGGTGTGCGGGCAAGCAGACAGAAGAGTACTTAGTACAAGCCACTCCATGCCTAACCCCATTAATCCTTACAAGCACTCTACATGAAAGTGAAAGTCATTCAGTCATGTCTGACTCTTTGCATGGATCCCATGGACTGTAGCCCACCAGGCTCCTCTGTCCATGGAATTCTCCAGGCAAAAATACAGGAGTGGGTTGCCATTTCCTTTTTCAGGGGATCTTCCTGACACAGGGATCCAACCCGTCTCCTGCATTGCAGGCAGGCAGATTCTTTACCATCTGAGCCACCAGGGAAGCCCACACAAAGAATAAGAATCAGGAAAGATTAAGTGAATTGACACCAGGTCCTCAACTTGGAGCTAATGTTCTGACTCTCAGAACTGGTGGCAAATTCCACCCAGGTCGAGTTCTGCCAGTAGTGAGTGGCAGGTGGGGAGAGGACAGTAAGCTCATGCTACAAAACCACATGTACACTGGGATGACCAGTTCTTGCTGCTACCAAAGTGATCTTTTCTGAAACAGAAATTTTATTGGTCTTATCCAAATAAGGGAGAAAGCTGCCTTCTGCTAACTATGTAACCATGATACCTTGTCTTCCCATCACCCCTCATCCCCACCATATACACTAAAGACAGCAAAGCTTCAGTCAACCAGCCTTCACTGCCAGCTTGACTGCAGACTCCAGCTAAGCAAAAGATGTGAGTCAGGATTCGGTGGCTTAGAGGTGCCCCTCAGAGAGGCACCAGTGAACCGAAGCCCTTGCCAGGGTGCAGGAAATCCCAGCTCTCGGGGGGGGGGGGGGGGGGGGGGGGCGGCAGTGCCTGCACATCAGCTGTTTCATAACAGAAACATTTAACTATTTCTCAGCCACATCCTTTCCTCACTGGGTTAGTTTTACCATGTGCTCAGATGCTCTGGCCAGTACTAATAGGTGCAGAGCCTTCCAGGGGCTCTTCCTATAGAGATGGCTGCAGGTAG